CAATAATTTCCGTTAACACCTTTTTTTCTCAACAAATTTCTTTAAACCTTGGGTGGGTTTTTTTACATATTTTCAAACCTGGGAGGGAAATCCCCTTAAAGGGTTTTTTAGGGTGGTCATTAAAGAATTTAGATTGGGCTTTTTTGGCCCCCAATTCTAAAGTATTTTGTTTTTTAAGAGCCCCTTAATTTGATAATTTCCATAGAAGAATTCCTTTAAAATCCCTGATGTTTTAAAAAGTCAATTTTGATGGTATTATCGATTCCTTCTTCTTGTACTTTTGAACGGAGGGATTAAATTTTGCAATGGCAGGGCCAGGAATGACCCAACCACCTAAAGAAGGAAAAAAAAGAGAACATTTCGAAATATTGTTCCTCCTCCTTCAGACCTCCTTGTTAATTTTAGTAAGAAGTACTCACCTTCAGAAGAAAGTTCTCCCATGGAAAGAAGCTATTAAATAAATTTAGAAGTTGGTGGGCAAATGCTGACGCGGAAGAAGAAGAAGACAGTAATGACAGTCTTTATGATTATTCCTTTGATAAATATTACGACCAGAGGCCTGAGAAAGATATCAAGGAGTGGAAAGATATTGTTCCCAAATGGAACAATGAAAACTTTGCAAATTTTAAAAATGAATATATTAATAATAACAATATTTATGAACATATGAATTACGATAATAATTATAATAATGGAAACGTTTTTAATGGTAGTCGTGAAGATAGTACAAAGACGTTTCTTACTGGAAATATCACAAACTCTTATAATATTCCCAAATTCCCAAATTTAGCATACATCAGAGATCAAAATATGTGTGACGCAAATGAAGGTAGATTAAACGATCCCTTTCAAGAGAATTTATCAGCATCATACCAATCTTTTAAAAAACATAATCTCAATCAAATAAAGAAAAAACTATCTGCAATTGCAAGACAGAAAGAAGAAGTTGTTAAGGCAGAACAAAAATTTTTAAAAGAATTAGGCTTATGGCAACAATCGTTATCTACAATCGATAGAAACTCAATGTTTTTAATGGAAGATATTAAAGAATTATTCCAACAAGATTCTATTGCAGAGCAAAATATATCATGCAATATAAAGGGTATGGTTAAAAATTTAGAATATGTCAGTAAAAGAGAAATAGAATATAATACTGAATCAAAAAATGTTATTAATGAAATAAAGATTCTCCAAAACGTAGTCAATAAAACTGGAGAACATTCAGAAGAATCAAATTTCCAAAAGGAAAAAGTTATTGCTACCAAAAAATCTTTCGAGGTAACAGAAAAAAATTTTCAACAATCTATCTCTGTTAATATGAGAAGACTTTTCAAGGATTTAGGCATAACATACCACGATTCAATTTCTGATCTAAGGGAAGTTTGTACTGCATTTATACAAAAATCATTAAAAACATTAGAGATAATTAACATAGACAATTTTGATGAAGACCTAAACGATTTAAGAATTAAAAGAGTTCAAAAGAAGTGGTCAAAATTGCCTCCTAATCAAAAAAGAGACCCTAAATTATGGAATAACATGATGAGTGGGTTTCATGATAATGAAGATTCATTATTAAGAAACGTATATAAAGGATTACCCCAAGAATACTCACCAACACGAAATAATATAAAGTTATATCCTAAGAAAGAATTACAATCTTCTCCCCTAAATGAAAGCTTTTCTGATGTAACGACTAAAAGATTCAATCCAATTACAACGAATCAATATTTTGCTGAAAAATCACCCGAGAATCTGGAACAGGAAAATTTTGATCCAAATAAAGAAGATTCTGAAAAGTATAACAATATTGATAAAAATACCTCTCATCAAGTCGAAGGACCTCGAAAAACTTTAAATAATAATCTAAAGTTCCAAGCCAGGGAAGTTCTAACAAATGACCCAATGAAACTAAAGAAGCCAATAATGGTAGATCCTGAAAAACAATTACCCAAGAAACCATCCATGGTTATGGATGGTATAAACGGCTATATTTTAAATTTTGGAGGAGAATTCTCCCAGCAGTTGGAACAAGCCGAGGTTCATCTAGAGGAAAATAAATGGGTTGAGTGAATTTTATAGAATCATAGGTAAATGACATATGTACCAATGAAAATAGATCTCCCTAACACATCTGATAATAACGTTACCTAACAACAGTTTTAACCTGAAATATATATTACAAATCCAAATTTGTGAATTACTTTGTTCTTCTCTGTTTTAATTTTCCAGTCGCAGTAACTATTCTTTTACTCATTTTCAATCGTCTTGATTCTTGTATTAGTTCACTAGGGAAAAACTCACTCAATGTACGTTGTTGTTTTTCTGCTTTACGTTTATTGATATCTTTTATCAACGGTATCAAGATTTCATCCGACTTCTCTTGAGGCCATCCAATCTGCCTTCTCATGAATTCTCTTAACATATCTAAATCAGGAGTCCCCCATACAAATGAAGTTTTATCATGATCTACTTCAGGGTTTATATACGAATCAATTACCAACTTGCTTGGAAACTCAGAACTTAATACAACTTCATTCTTTATTAATTTTTTCCTTAAATCCTTTCTGAACTTACTATCGCTTTCTTGTTTACTTTTATCAAACATTCCTTCATCATACCACTCTTTAAATCTTTCTAAGGTACCAAAATCCGCCAGAACTTCCATGCTCAAAACAGGTCCAAGACCCTTCACACCATTTGTATAATCACTACCCAACAACAACGCCAGGTCTATCATGTTTTTCCTATCCAATGCTAGATTACTATTAATAGATTGAACATCATAAAATTCAACATACTTCTTTTCTTGGAACATATTTTTATAGATTTTTGCTCCTCCAAATAAAAACACATCACTATCGTCTGTTATAATACCATCCACTAATTTCAAAAGTAATAATTCTGCACACTGAGCTTCAGCTTCCATTGGGGCTACTATATATGGAATACCAAAACGAGATAATAATTCCTGCACTGCAATTACCATCTCTGGCGTGACTTCATCTGAATCCCTTTTATCTTTCATCTGTTGCTCAAACAGTTCATCTTCCAAAAATGTGCTAGATACAGTTTTATCAGAAATCTCAGACTGGAACTTATTGAAATCATACCATTCTTTTCTAATATTCTCCGCTATATTACTTTCTTCATCTTCTGTAAAATCATAATCAAAAATAGCAACAACTTTCTCAGAAGACTTATTGTTATTTTGCTCTTTAACGTTTGGATCAGATGTTTTTATATGATCAACTTTTGTCCATACTTTCTCTTGAGATTCTAGTTCCAATAATTCAGCCTCATCTTTGTTTTGATCCGCCTCGTAATTATTGTTTTCAGTATCACTTCCAATATCGCTGACAATCTCAACTACATCGTTTTCATTACTGTTGAGGTCCGATGTAGATGTCGTGTGTGCCTCTATCATATCGAATGCACGGGAACCTGAAACCAGAGCATAGCTACTATTATTTTGTGAATAATTTCCTCTATCTATTACTTCATCTTTATCTTCGACAAATTTGTTGGATATAAACGGATTTATTGTAGATTGATTTGAGTCACCGAACCAACTAGGTGTCTCAATAATATCATGTTCCTTTCTATTCTCTTTTATTATATTTTTTTCTGTTTTATTTTGAGCATTACTAAATAATATTGATTCATTTGCAATAGCTTTATCGAACCCAGGAATTTTACTTAATATAAGATTCAGATTTTGTTCGTTCTCACTAGGGAAAGATTTTGAAAATTCTTTATTGTTTTGTTTATGGTGCTCTTTCACTTTAAAATTTGAAGTTACTTCAGGAAGAAGCTTCTTATTTTCCTGATCTAAAATTGTACTAAGTTTCCTCTCCGAACTGTCATTCGTAACAAATTGACTTGTAAATGTTGATTTTACGCTTTCTATTTCTCCAGACATTTTTCCATTTTTACCCCCTGTGTCTTTTTTTGATTTTTGAATAGCTTCCATAAGTTCAATTTCTTCAATTTGTCTCAAGTAATCATCTTCATTATCACTTTCACTTGGTATATTTTCAATTACTTTCCTTTTAATGGTTCCAGCCAGTTTTACTGGCGAATAATCAGCATCAATTCTTTTATCTAGAAAAGCCTGACCACCAGCTGCCATATCTGGCTTTTGTACCTGATATAGTCTAGCAGCCTTTAGAGAAAAATCTTCAATCTTCTTTGTTCCATCAGATTTCAATTCAACATCTTCCCATTCCATTGACTCATCATCTTCATCATCTTCATCATCATATTTATTTTTGTTTCTTTCTTCGATGTCATTTACGTTATTTTTATTTCTTTGTGATACTAATTTGGAATCTAATTGTATAGTATTTGCATTAACTTCCCCATCATCTATTAAATGGATGGCTTTCCCGATTTCTGAACCATCATATTCTCCGAACCCCAGAGCCCAACCATGATCTGTTCTAGCTAATTTATATTCCTTATGCACTTGACCTGATATTCTATTTACCACTTCTTCATCTTCCATTTTTGAAGCCCCACCATCAGTGACACCAGTGGTATTTAATAACTTTTGCGTAAAGAAGTTCCTTCTTTTCACCATATCAATTTGAAATTTGGAAAAATCCATACTATTTGGAAATAATTCTTCTAGTTGTTCTTTGGAATATCCCATTCTCAATCTTGATTTTAATCTTAGAGTTGTCAGTATCATATATTGAGTAGCTTTCGGAAGTTCTTCAAACTCTTTTGAAGCTGGATTTATAGAATCTAAATCAATACCATTCCATTCGTCAGTAATAGAATTAACAATCTGATCGTAGTTTTTTGCAGATAGAACTCTATCATCATCTTCATCGATTTTAAATCCAGGGATATCTGGTAAATGCCATTCATCATGTGGTCTGAATATTTTATTGGAATTATTTTTAGAAGAAGCATCTTGATTGGGAATAGCATTAGGATCTAAATCCAAACCTTCAGAATGTTTCTGAAGTTGTATAGCAAGTAATTTTCTAGCTGTAGCAGCTGCGCTATCCCTTTTACCTTGCCGTTTCTCTTTTCTTTCTTGAATAGTAGCTTTCTTAAGCGCTGGTACTCCTCCATCGAATACGAATACAGGTTTTATCCCATAAAACAAAAGCTTACATATTCTCCTAAAAAAACCCACAATATGAGCATCTTTGACTGCGTTACCTTTATTATCCCTCACAGCTTTAAGAAACTGATATATCCAAATTGATGCGTCCACTGCCATTTTCTGATCATGAAGGGATTCTAACCTTACAGGTCTAGCGGTTGGACCTAAAATGTCCCATAAAGAATGGACACCCATTTCGAATTAAATACTTTATTTGTATTTGATCCTTAATTTAATGAATCATTTCTTGGTTGCTTTAATATCTAACCAGATAGTCCCTTGAAGGATTTATTCATTTTATATAATTTATAATAGATCATCTCTTAAAATTTAGAGCCTTCTAACATATAAAAAAAAAGTAAGACCTTAGTTGTGAAAAAAAACACAAATGCTCCAGCTGAGGTTCGAACTCAGGACCTTTACCGTGTGAAGGTAACGTGATAGCCACTACACTACAAGAGCATTGTAAGATGAGTTGTCTTTGTAGGTGTGTAGCCAATGCAATAGGGATGTAGATGTTTTTTGTTGTGTATTGATTCCACGTTAGTACAAGATGACAGGAATAAGGAAAGAGGATCTGTCATGATTGTTAAAAGGAATGACGCTAATAGATAACTGACATGACGTATATAAAGGGCATAGTTCCTGAAGTAAAGATATACACTTTTGTTATTAAACAGAAGACCATAGAAATCCTTATATATTTAATACTACTGTATAGTTATTATAATAGTTAATTAACCTCATAGAGCTTATAACTAGTAACCTTAAGTATTTACTTCTACGGCTTGTTTCCCTAGATAAATACTTAATACATTGATATTCAATATTCCGGATCAAACAATACAAAATAATTATTTTGTGAAGCAACTAAACAATTTGTGAAGCAACTAAACAATTTGTGAAGCAACTAAACAATTTGTGAAGCAACTAAACAATTTGTGAAGCAACTAAACAATTTGTGAAGCAACTAAACAATTTGTGAAGCAACTAAACAATTTGTGAAGCAACTAAACAATTTGTGAAGCAACTAAACAATTTGTGAAGCAACTAAACAATTTGTGAAGCAACTAAACAATTTGTCAAGCAATTAAACATTTTGTTAAACCTTAAGTAATAAGATTAACAAGATACACAACCACATACCCTTTTCATAAGTTATAAACCCAGAAGAAAACAACCAAAAATGGAAGCTTCAATCAAAGCTTTACAAGAATCAATCGAAGCATTGAATGCTAAGATGGATGAAAGACAACAAGAAGATCTTGCTTATAGAGCCAAGATCCAACAAAGTTTCGAAGCTATGAACACAATGAATACCGACTTAGCAACTAAATTATTGGAATTAAAAACCAAAGATGACGAAGAAAGAAAAGTTTTAAAAGAAGCATCAATTGAATTTACCAAGTTTCAAAAGGAGCAAGAGGAAATTAAAAAGGAAGCTAAAGAACTAGGTGTTGAACTAAAAGAAGAAAGAAAACACGCTGAAGCAATCTTGAAAATGGAAGAACAAGCTTTACAAGCAAAATTCGAAGAAGAAGACAAGAATTTAGAAAACCTTAGAGACGGAATTGCTGAAGAAGTACCAAAATACCTTCAAGAATTCAGAGGTGAAATAATTAATCAAGTGAACAACCTGATTGCCGAACAAGACAATCCAACTCAAGGGAAGATTAACAATAACGAGAAACTACAAAAGGAAAAAATACTATTATCAAAAATTAAAAAACACTCATCTTCAATCATAATTGATGAAGACAACCAAATCATTCTGGAATGCACCAAAAGATTTACTGACGCTAATCTAACACCTACAACATCGATGACAATCGATAGTATCTTTACCAAAGATAACACTTTGGCTATTCTGGAAATACAACAGGCGCTAATCAACAAAAGCGTCAAATACAGTGACTGGAGCATGTTCCTCTCACTCTGCTGCAAGAAAAACACGGCATATCATTTGAAAGACGCAAGAGGAAAGATTATGCCCTGGAAAAACTGTCTTTTAAGTATCTACAAATTTTTCAACTTCCAGAAGGCCTCTTCAATAGCAGAAGATGAAATTGTGACTCGCCAACTATCCGATGGTGACAATGTGACTATGTTCATGTTACAACTCACAGAACTGGCTAGCACGAACAGATCTACCAATTTATTTCATATCTTACTAAGAAAATTAAAAATAATTATGAGAAAGGAATTTCCTACCTTGAAAATTCCAAATTTTTCGGACTTCAACAATTACGAGGATGTAGTCACATACATCAATGAGTTTTTGCCAGAAGATCAGATATATAAAAACACAAATACACAACCTACAAAACTTTTCGCCTTAAACACGTACCAAAACAGAAATAAAAAACCTACACAGAAAACGTTCTACTATTGCAAGAATTGTACCTGTAACAAATGCAAAAATATTAACCAATACCAGAAGACCAAACCTGGTTTCTGCTTAAATTGTTCCTGTACGAAATGTACCTATACCAAATCAAAGTACTATCAACAGAGACGTCCAAACAACGAAAAAGTTACCACTAAAAAGTTCAACATAAACAACGTTGAACTCCCTCTATCCGATACAGACGATTATCTTCTACAGGAAGACGATCTTGATACACCAAATTACCATCAATCCTTTGATTCCGGGGAAGAGACCTTTTCCGAAGACGATCAGAAACTGACTGAAAACATTCTTAACAGTTATAGCGACACAAACCAACAGGAGGAACCCAACTCACATGACCCCTCTCCACGGGCATCCGCATCTATGAATTTCCTAGACCTCAACAACACAACCATCAAGCCTTCAAACCCCAACCAGACCAACTTAATCCTAGATACAGGCGCCGATGCAAACTTTATTTACTTACCAATTACCAAGCACAAACAACAAACAATCAATCCTTTCTTAATCACTATACTAGATATTATTGACTGCGCACCTATCATAGTCAAACCAGCCATAGGTGGAAAGTATATAATCGATAAAAGGGCAAGGATTAAACTACAAATAAACAACCTGCCTATCGAACAACACTTTTTTATCATCCCTGAAGAACGCAATAATATCATTTTGGGAAAACCCCTATTAAAAATTTTGAAGTACCAATTACAAGATGAACATGAATCTATCGAAATAGATGGTACACGGGTACTCATTCCACCTGTCCTTTCCACACTGACTACAGAATCTCATATACGAGTAATTAAACAAATCGATATCAAAGAACAGTTGAAAAAAGATTTCCCAGCTGTATTCGATGAAACACTTCTTAACGCCTCTGAACCAAAACACAATTATATCGCCTTCGTGAAACTCGATAACTTCCCGTACCATAAACCTAAAGCCTATTTCACAAATCAGTTACAAAAACAGGCCATTAACCAATTTATCACACAATCTCTCGAATCAAATATGATATCACCTATAGACACAGACGAAGTGGTAGCTCTTAGTCCGGTTTTTCCCATCCAACAATCTAAAGATAAGATTAGGATTATAACGGATCTGAGAAAAGTCAACACACATTTGCTGTACACACCGAGACCAATACCTCCAATACAACACATTTTTAGCAACCTTGCTAATAAAACCATTTTTTCTTCACTGGATATTCGAAAGGCTTACCAACAGATACCAATACAAGGAGACAAATTAGGCCTTATCACAGAGCTTGGCAGTTATAAATTTAACCGCTTGCCTTATGGTTTAGCTTCTGCTCCCTACTGGTGGGGTGAATTCATTCAAAATATCCTTAAACAACTACCCCAATCCAAGGACACCATAGTATCCTATTACTACGACGACCTTATCATCGCTTCTTCCACTATCGCAGAGCATTACACTACTTTAAAACACATCATGGCCCTGTTAGCAGAAAATGGCCTATCCCTCAGCTATGAGAAAATCCACATTGCACAACCCAAAGTATTGTTCCTCGGCTACGAAGTATCGCATAACCGCCTGGCCATCGATAAAGAGAAGAAAAATACCATTGCCAGATGGGTTTTACCCGAAGACAAGAAAGCCATCGAGAAATTCACCGGTTTTGTTAATTTTTTACGAAATTTCATACCAAACGCTTCTCAATTACTGGCCCCGTTCTATAGTTTTGCTACAAACAAACCATCCAATCATGAAAAACCAATTCTTCAAAAGGCTATGAAAAAGAACTTTCAACTCATAAAACAATTGATACTGAAATCTCTTACCCTCAAACTATTTGATCCTCAAGCACCCACTATTATCTATACCGACGCCAGTCTTACAGGCGCCGCCTCGATTGTACTACAACCAGAAACTGTCAACGGAAAAACCACACTATACCCAATCACTTTCTATTCACTCCGTTTCACCGACACGCAACAAAGGTACTCCACCGTCGAACGAGAATTATGGGCGGTCCTACACACTCTAGAAAAGGCCAGACTTGTACTGTCATCTAGTATTACCATCTATACCGACAATCAAGGCATCATCAGCATGGGAAAAACTGAACGTGCCACTCATCCCAGATTAACTAAGTATCTTGATTTATTAAATACCTACAGGTTAAATTGGAAATATATCAAAGGAAGGGACAACCACGTCGCAGATTACCTAAGCAGGTACGGATTAGATTCCCAACCTACATTGAATCTCGACGAATGGGAAAAATTCTCAGTCGACATTAAACTTAATGCCGTTACACACTCGGATCAACAAAGTAAAGAAAACCCAAACTTAACTCAACATACCACTAACGAACATACCCAAAAGGCTCCCGAAGAATCACGTGAACCAGCTACTGACACCACCGACCAACAGAATAACGAAGGCACACCTGACATCATACAAGATGTTCGTAATCTATCTTGGTCCCAAATTTTGGACATCCAACGTATTATTCGAGAACATTTACCTATCCCCCAAATCTACCAGGACATCATACATATCTTCACATGGGTTAACAATAATTTCTACATCATCTACCATGAACAACTCCACCACATACTTACCGATGTGGATTACATTGAAAAGGCTACTTCATTACATAATGCCTTTCATGCCAACCACCGAATCTTGGAACAGATGATGATCCAGGAGAAATTCTGGAACCCTAGACATGCCATATTGCTTTTAGATGTAATAAGAAACTGTCAACATTGTGAGATCTACCAACGCTTCGTAGACTTACCAGTCGAACTACCCAAAATGAAAATAACGCCACCACTTACCCGATGGCACCTTGACTTTGCGGGACCTTTGACAACATGGGATGATTTCCAATACTTTATAATCGCAGTAGATTATACCTCCAACCTCACAATTACAAAACCACTAATTTCACCAAATTCTAATGCCGTCACCGATATGATTCTACAAATATACAGTATGTTTGGTAAACCTAGAGCCATCATCACGGATAATGCACAAGCCTTCAGATCAGAAATAGTCGAACAAGAAGTAAAACGACTACATTTGAAATATTATCAAAGCTCGGTGTATAATCCAAGAGGAAACAGCAAAGCTGAAAGAACGATAAGGATGATTAAAAAGGTACTCATCCACTTAGAACCTGATTTGATCAACTGGCCTGCTAATTTGTATAACGCAACGAACATAGTTAATAATACTAAAATGGTCTATGGCTATGCACCTTGTGAAATTGCATTTGCTAAAACTGCTCATATCGATTACAAAAAATACCCTTGGGCACCTCGACAAGAAAGACAATGGAATAAAAGACCGAACACTGCAGAACATTTCCAAGAAGAAGAACAAGTCAACTTAGCAATATTCGGTCATAAGTTGTTACATGATGCTCGAAAGATTACAAAAGATGAACGGTCCAAAGTTCGTGAAATGTTATCTAAAGTAAGAACAGATACACAAAACGACGTGCAATACATAGTCGGAGACCCTGTTTATCGACTACGACAGAAGAATAAGAAACATGAACCCACATGGGATGGTCCCTATACAATTTCACAACAAGTTGGAAACCACACATATAAGATTAAAACCAAAAACGGAAAGGAAAGCAAATATACTTACCATAGTACAAAGCTAAGACCGGCTTATGCAGAGCAAGGCTCAGCTATCCGAACGGCAGCAGAGTACACTAGAGTCTACAACGATCAGGAACGAAAATATTACATCAAGACACTAGAAGATATTATAAATGACAAGGTTTTCAATTGACTTAACCGAAACCTTCCTTGAAGCCGCCGATATTGTATTGATTCCACGTTAGTACAAGATGACAGGAATAAGGAAAGAGGATCTGTCATGATTGTTAAAAGGAATGACGCTAATAGATAACTGACATGACGTATATAAAGGGCATAGTTCCTGAAGTAAAGATATACACTTTTGTTATTAAACAGAAGACCATAGAAATCCTTATATATTTAATACTACTGTATAGTTATTATAATAGTTAATTAACCTCATAGAGCTTATAACTAGTAACCTTAAGTATTTACTTCTACGGCTTGTTTCCCTAGATAAATACTTAATACATTGATATTCAATATTCCGGATCAAACAATACATTCTAAGCTAAAAGGTGACACACACTAGAGGGTTTGGCATACAACAAAAAACACGAATTAAAAGCTTCTATGGCCAAGTTGGTAAGGCGCCACACTAGTAATGTGGAGATCATCAGTTCGACTCTGGTTGGAAGCATTTTTTTTGAAAAACTTTGTTTTTATTTTTTCGACCTGCATTATCGGCTACTCAGGTACAAAAAGTTCGAATTAAGATCAGACTCGATTTTAATTGGGATGCGTCTAATATAATAAATAATTCGAAATTCAAGACTTTATCATCTTGATTAACTGTTTACTCTGAGATGGGATCATGGATTGATTAGAGTCAGCAACTTCTATTAGATTAAAGATCAAGCACTTGATTAGATTCTTTTTTTAACTAAAAAGAAGTTTATCTTTCTATCAAACAAGAGATACAAATAATTCACTAATACACTAAATCCATCAAATAGGCTGTATTTAAAGATAAGATAACTGATCCAAACATATATTTAGTTGTAACATTGTCAATCTATTTGTAGGTTTTATTCTGTTTGGGCTGTTTCGTTGTGATATAAATTGCGAGTACAATTTCTTTAAGATAGTACTGCTTTAAAAAATATCTCAAATCTCATCGAATGGATACTTTCTATTTGGATCTTTTTATTAGCTAAACTTTTATTTTTGTTTTAATTGGTGTTGGTAATAATACAGTAGAAGATTTATTTTAATAATTATTAATTGGAGAGGATAAAATACAATAAAATATAACAAAGAAAATAGCATGGCACATCTTTTAACTTCAAGGTTTCGAACAATTTTATTAAAGCGCCTAGGATTAATAATTTTACTAGTTGTATTTCTGAAACTAATCCATTTCCCTTTCTTGGAATCAAATGGAGGAGAAGTTGTAGAAAGAGCTAATGTTGCCTTCAGAGAGGCTTATTCTTTGTCAACCTTTCATGTAATTAATAAACTACAGAAAAATTCCCAAGAACCTCATTCTAAAAACATACTATTTCCAAAACTGGCTAATAAATTTCCTGAAGACATGACTAACGTGATTGAAAATTGGGAAGCTGAAGAGACCAGTAAAGAACAGAAATGTAGAACTATGATTGAATTGATGTATCTAATCACTCCAACTTGGACAAATGATGAAATTACAAAATTTCATAATATTGACGAATTAGATAATCTAATCATTTCATTGATGGGTGAAAGATTAAGAATATATGATTACTGTTTTATGTCAGGAAATCTTGACATAAAAAATGTATTGGATGCTAAAAGGTTAAGTTTGGATACTCCTATTGATATAAGTGATTTCCAACATAGAATGTTTCCATTTCTAAAAGAAATTAGAGCAGAAACTGAATATTTTTGGCCGACTATTACAAATTTAAGAACTAATACAACAGTTCCAATACCAAACTTTGAACAACCTCAGATGGACTTTAATCTCAATTTTTGGAAAAATTGGAGCAAAGCAGCTAGTGGAAAAGGAATAGTAATTACAATGGGAGAGAGGGATAAACCAATGTTATTTAAGTTATTAAGAGTACTAGAGTTTCAGGATAATAAATATCCGATACAGATAGTTACCTCAGGTAATGAATTATCAAGGGAATTTATAAATGAAATTCATGACGAGTTGCAAAGAATAAAACAAGATGTTTACTTGGTGGATTGTGGCTCTCTCTTAGATCCCCATTATTCTAAGGATCTCATAATTAATTTTTTGAACAAATGGTTGGCAGTAATATTTAATACGTTTGAAGAGGTCATATTTCTAGATGTTGATGTAATTCCCTTCGTAGATATGGATTATTTCTTCGATAATGAAGAGTACAAATCAAGTAATTTGCTGCTATATAAGGACAGAGTTATGTTACATGAATCAACGTATCCCCACTGTATAGATATGTTTCATGAAGTTGAACCATCAAGGGAGGAATCAGCTGTATTAGGCACAAAAATTCTGTTCGATTCAAGGACGAAAGAGTTTGATCATAATTCTCAAGTCGCCATGACATTTAGAAACTTTTTCCGGAAGCTACAGCTTCACCATGTTGATAGTGGCTTGATAGTAGTTAATAAAATGGAAAAGTTAAATGGTCTTTTATTCTCCTTTATGTTACACTTAGATGCGAAAGTGAGAAGGTGTGTGTATGGTGATAAAGAATTATTTTGGATTGGACAACTTTTCGCCGGTCAAACTTATAGTATAGATAAAATTGATAGCGGGCTAATTGGACCTGTTATAGAAGGTGTTGATGAGAAGACAAATATGAAAAAGTTTCAAATATGTGCCACCCAAATGTCCCATAGTGATGCAAATGGTGACTTAGTATGGACAAATGGTGGGTTGAAGACCTGTAAAATAAACGATGCAGCTAAGTCAGATTTCTTGAATACACCTGATTACTTCACTGATAGGTATGAGACAGAAGAAGTTCTACGAAGAATTTATGAATCACCTTTGATGATAGAAGGGCTCATTATTCCAGATGTTAAAGTTGAATCGTGGTTACAGATAAGAGAATGTGCCAACTATTTTTACTGCGCAAGTGCGCTGTTTAGTGAAACAGATACTTCGAATAATGTTGGGCAATTCAAAAAATTCGATGAACAAGAAAAAGCCAAATTCAATAAAATTTCAGAACTTTGGAACAGTTGATATAAATAATGTAAAATTTCCCTTTTGAACAATATGTTTCGATTATAGTTGATTAAAATTCAATATATCAACTGTGCCTACTAATAGAAACCCATTATCAAACTTGTGAGTAATTATATTGGTTATTTGAAACTACTAGTTTGGAGGAAACAGTGATTAAATGAAATAGCGGATAAGCTTTAAAATGTAACGTGGAATGATTTCCATATGAATTGGTCTGGAACATCAAAGTTTAATCGCAACTTTGATTGAGGTAAAGGAACGAAAGAGTACCTAGGGCGAGATATCCTTCCTGAGAGATGCATTGTTATTGTCGATTTTTTTTAATCTAATAGCTATTTATTGTTTATGTTGCCAAAGTTTTTTAATGTAACAAATTACAGAGTAAAGCCATAATCATTTTATCAAATTTTGGACGGGCTGGGATGGTTCTCTTAAGATCTCAAAAAATTGCATTAGTGAAATCATCTCGAAGTAATGTTTTACACTCGATATTTACTTCAATTGAGTGATCCTTAAAGAGAAAAGATTATGTATGATTTAATTAGATTGTGTTATTTGCATATGTCAATTATTGCTTTGCTACAATTTTGTGCAGAATAAATGATCAATTAAATTAGTCATATTATATACAGGATTCTCTTGTTAAGCGAGAGTAATACATACCCTTAGTAGAGGTTATTTTGTAGAAATAGGAAGCAGGATCACACCCCTTTAAGAATTGAAAATGCTAAGCTCTCAAAAGAAGGGAATGTATTGTTTTAGTATTTCCTGGATAAATATAACTGACAAATAATATTTTGGACGTTTTTTAAATGTATCTACTCTATTACTATTTTTGGTCAATGTTGGTGATTAACTACATATATATTATACTTAGACAATTGATATTAGATTATATGTTTATTTATTACTTTGCTCTTCCAAATTCCCTTCACTACAATGTAGATTAATGAATTTGTAAACTTTCTATAATTAACGCCAGGTTTCTTAATATACAATTATCAGAATCTATATAGCTTCTAAGCTTTATGAAAAGCATATATACATTAAATAGGTACAACAACGTATTCCAGAGGTTTTTGAGTGGTAACTTGCTCTCCTTCTTGTAAGAGAGTAGTCTATATAACATGAGCAGTTTTATGTATTGGCACAGAAAATTTGTTCCTTTTATATACTGTAGAAATTTTCAAATACATACACCTCGTGAATAAATAAACTATAACGACTGTAGAGAATCAGAGGGTTGTGGATTCTTTACAGAATCGTTAATAATAGTAGATTGTTTAGTTGTTTGCAAGGACATTCTTAATAAGTTGATATTGATCCCGTGTATTAAAGTATAAAATATACACATGGGAATATAGTACATATGATAAGTGTCAATTAAGATCTTACCAGACTTTATATACAATGTTTAGATATTATTGACACGTCAGAAGCAAATACTTTCGTATTATAAACATTTCTTTATCCCTTATTAATAATGATGTTTCATATAATTCTTCACCCTTATTAATATTGAATTAATGAGTATGACTTTACGTCATCTTATAATTTCTGACAACGACAAAATATTTAACCCATAGTACCCAGATGAAAGTTTTAGCAACGATTCCAAGGTCGATAATCCAATTAAACTTTTTATATGCATAAAAAATTGAAAATAATATTTATATTATTGGCCTAAAAAGCACGAATATTCAACAAATTAGCAAGCGCCGTGGCGCAGTGGAAGCGCGCAGGGCTCATAACCCTGATGTCCTCGGATCGAAACCGAGCGGCGCTAATTTTCTTTTTTAATATTTTTTATAAAAATCTCAATAATGTCACTTACAAATTGTCTTCAACAAGACTTTTTTATGAAGGTAAATGCTTTTTTATTTATCAAATATAATTTAGTTTATTAGTCACTTAAAAGTGTCTGCTTATCTTACAAAAGTTATTAATCTCATTGTCATCGGATATTACAATCGTTCTTAGGACTAATTTCTTGTATCTCCTATAAGCTACTTGTATATGAAACTAAGAAAAAATGCATGGTAATAAATTATAGGTAATAACTATGACCTTTGCATTTCTAGTTCCAGTTAACACTAAAAACGTAAGATTTTATACATTATAAGAAATTTGTTTATATTAACTTAGATATATATTAATGTTTTGACTTCTTTAAAGTGAAATGAAAGAGCAAATATAGGCCCTAAAATATAAACTTTACAGAAAACTTCAAATACCCCTTTTTAGAGAACCAAAGCAAAATCAGTACACTTACATACAGTTTAATGGCGTCTATTAATGTCAATCTTGCAGTCATTAACAAATTTTTTGTTCCTTTTTATTGCTGACAGCAAATGTCAGTTATAGCAAAAAACTGAAAGAATGAAAAATGAGAAACCTGCGTATGTGCCGTTAAGAAGCTAAAATATTTTGCTATAAGTACTTTTTGAGAAATAAATTTCCATTGTTGCTATTATATTATTTAAATATAAATATAAATGGGATCTCCTTTTAACATCAGAAGCTTTTAAGGAATCCTTTTCCGTAAATTTAAAAATTCCAACTAGTTTAGTTAATTAAGAAGCTGGAAAGAAGTCAATTTTGAACCCAAAGAAAATTTAATTTTGTCTTAATGAAACTAATCAGCTTCAGTTTTTATGCCCTTTATTTAATTTCATTTCACCAAGTGACAGGTTTATTTTTTACAAATACCTTAAATAAAAGTAGTACCAATCTATTAGAAGCTTATGAAAGAGTATTAGTTTTAACCTACAAGAATGTACCAAATTCCAATAGGGACTTATATTATTTGTTTGATGAATTTAAAGAACTTAAGAAAAATTTATTTGAGGCAAACCAAAAATATAAATATAAGCCACATATAAAATTAGCAATGTCAGTTTTATATGATTTAAAAGCCAAACAAGTCAAAAGCAGCAAACTACATACAGATTATATTTCTAAACACATTCAATCAATGAAAAGTGCCTTAAATAAGTTGATATATACAACACATTGGAATTTTGATCCTACACAATCAAATTTTGATAATGTATCAGAGGATTCTAAAGAAAGGGCTATAAATCTTTTAGCGCAATGGTTAGAAAAAAAGATTGAACAAACGGAATCTCCTCCTATAGCTGAACAACCTACAGCTAATCCTCCTACAGGCAATCCTCCTACAGGCAATCCTCCTACAACTAATCCCCCAACTCGCAATCCATTTGGTAACAATCCAATCTTTGGGAATCAAAATCAAAACCCGATTGACCGGGAAAACGCCTAAAACCATGGCATGAATTTTACATGGTTGCCAACAGGAAGGAAAGGGCCCAAACTTGAAGTTCAGGGATTGGCAGGTTTGCCAATTCGGGAAAAGAAAGTGGTTATTGAATTCTGGGATTTGGGGCCCTTTAAGACACTTGGAGAAATATTCCACCCCAAAAGAGAAACCTCTC